AAAAAATGTCATGTGAATAAAATAATTTATTATTGAAACAAAGAAATTTCAAGGCAATGTTATACATAAATTTTTGTCAAAGTAAAAAATATAATTAAAGAGTGGTGGGAGGATCTCTGTTTACACAAGGAGTTGAGGCAGATAGATGACAGAGGAGGAAATGCTATTACAGATGAGATCATGGCTTGTGAAAGGTGCAATCCATTGATTCTAGACATTGATGTATTTGGTGCTATTTTATTTAATAAATGTGTTGTTGAAAAAAAAAAAAGGTGGAATTGGCCAAATTCCATTTTGCATCCGGTTTTAGAGTTCGAATGGAGGAGATTTTCCTCAAAGTTTGAAGCTTTCAGTACCGTTGCAGAGAGTCTTAAAAGTGAAACTGACAATTTTTATTCTCTGTTAAAACTCCAACATGACCCCCAAAAAAAAAAAACTCAATTATTATTAAATTTGTTATCGATCTTAAACTTGATTTATAGCTTTTGAAGTTCATGTCGAGACGAACAAAATGAGGTATGTTTTATCGATTTTTGAAAATTGATTCGCCAATAATCTATCGACGAAAAACGTAGGCGCACATATGAATAAAAAAGTTCAGTTTAAATTTTTTTGATAATAAAAAAGGTCAGATTTTCAACTAGGAGGTGTCATGTGAAAGCTTGTAAACCGATTTTTGCAATGAGGTAGATCTTAAATTGAACTTTGGTTGGTAGTCCCAAAAAAAAGCTAATGTTTTGTCAATTTGTTTAATTACTGATGGGAATCCAACTGTTAGATTTTTATAAGATGTACCTCATTAGAAAATTCGTCTTGAAAATTTTCAAATGACATATCCCAACCGAAAGTCGGATATCTTGATTATCAAAAAATTTGAACTGAATTTCTTACTATGCACACATGCACCTATCTTTTTCGCCGATCGATTACCAAAGAATCAATTTTTAGAAATTGATAATCCATGCCCCCATTTTGTTCGTCTCGACATGGGCTTCAAACTCCTAAATCAATTTTAATATCGATTTAACATTCATCGTTAATTGAGTTAAAAACTTTTGTATCATGTTAGAGTTTTTAATGGAGGGGCAATTGCCAACTTTGTGTAATAGAAGGCAAGTTATCAAGAGAAACTTATGTGGCGAACTTAAAAAACGAGGATATATTTATAGGTTTAAAATAAATCCAGTTATCTCTATTCTAGTGTAAAATAGAGGTTAGAAAATTAAGTTTCGTCTCTAACCGTTACCGCTATATTTTGCTTATACTTAATATTTTATTTTTATTCTTACCATTATAAATTAAGTTTAATATTAAAATTAATTTGATAAAATATATTATTTAAAAAATGTATATTATATATTGTATTGTAAATATTATTTCTTGTTTCATTCTTAGACATGTAATTTTTATCCAAAAATATAGATAACTTTTTCTATATAATTATACACAATCATACACAATACGAAAAATACGAAATACATCTTTTTGTTAAATTTGGATTTATCATATTTATAATAAAATAAAATTGATAATAAGAATATAAAACGGTGAAACACGAACACTACACAATAACATGATATTTCACTTGTAATCAGTACAGCAGATCCCTTGAAATCTCGTGGACCAAAAGTATAATCCAGTAAAAGTAACTCCATGGAAATTTTTTATTG